TTTATGAAAAGTTAAGTTATCCCAGGAAAAACCTATATTTTCCTTAAAAGTCAATGGTTCGTTATCGATCCGAAAATGAAGTGTACAAGTAATCACCATACTTGTATCATTAGGTGCAGTTTCCTTGAAAGTTCGGTTACTCTCGATGAGGTACATTAGTTTTAATACACACATAAAACTAATAAGTAGGTAGTGAACTAATTCTTAGGGGTATTACTAATACCCTCTAGTAATCAAAACAATTATTACTTTGAGGTTAGTTCACTAGGTTCATTATTACTGAAAGTAAATCTCCATTATCTAAGTTGCGAGTTCTATAACCATACAATAAACTAGATATGGCTCGTAACGGGGGCCAGTTTCATTTTATGACTTTGTCACCCGTAGACCTGTCGGTCCCACTGTAGCTAGCAGTAAGGTGTGGGGTAGTCAGTCTCGTATAGATCTATACACACAAGTCACGTTCTCCCTCCAGGAGATTCTGGTTACAGGGTCGGTCCTCCACTCTCGTATCTATGGGGAGTGTTACCGAGGACTTGTCTCCAATCTTAAGAATAACGAATTTACAAATAATAATATGGAAAATCCCGTTTTATGATTGGCGTGAATCCTTTGTAAATTATGAAATATACCATTTTATAATGAAATTTACAAGTTCCTTGTTTTGGTTTTGAAAACTAACTCTACAAGTTAATTTCTTAATCGGTTGGTAAAACGGTTTTCAGTGTTAAAAGCATGTTGAACATGTAAGTATTTCATACAAAATAATAGCTTTTGAGTACAAGTTCACTTGTACTTTTGCTTGTATTCCCCCCTGAAAACATGAAAAACTCGGAAAAAGGTGTAGGGGTATGAACTCACCTGACGTGGGTGTGCCGGGTAGGACGCTAGGTGTCAATTTAGGACTTGAACACACGCGAGGGTCCTATGTAACATGAAGTGATACATAATTGTATCTAATTAGTCATTTAAACCACTAATTAGGCAAGTAAATACACTCCAATGCGTGGAAACACTTTATTTCAAGTGTTAGGAATGATGCGGGTTGCATCTAAGGAGTGTGTGGCCTTGTTAAGGAGTTTACTCTTCAAGTGTAAGCCCTTAGGGGGTGTTTACGGTTTCAAGACCATATCCCCATGAATTTACGGCCGTAAACTCATGGGAGTGGTGTTATTAGGTGCTCAAAGGTATTATGCTTCACAAAGAAAGGTCATAGGGTTGAATCAAAGGTTATGGAAGTGTTTGGGGCTTGAAATGGACCCTTTATGGAGTTTACGGTCTTTGGACCACTCCCTTGGGAGTTTACGGTCGTAAACACATGAGTTTACGGCCGTAAACTCATATTTGTCCATTTTTTATGTGTTTTGGTGGTTGTAGGTTAAGCATGCAAAGTTCTAGACCCAAATATAAGCCATACAAGGTGTTAAGGGCACTTAAACACCCTTTGGAGGTGTTTACGGTTTTGGGAGATCCCCAAACCGTAAACTCATGTTTACCCCCTTCAATTCATGTTTTGGGGTTCTTAGATCATTCATGCAAGTTTCTAGGTCATAAGCCAAGCATTGGAAAGGTTTTGGGGCATAAAAAACCCCTTTTAGGGTGTTTACGGTTTTGGGACGTTCCCAAACCGTAAACACATGTTCTTGAGGTTTTTGGATGATTAAATCATGAATTTGCAAGTATGTTAGGCTAAACCACAAGCTAGGAAGGTTAACTTACAATTGTGAAGCTTGAAGGGGCGTTTCTAGATCGATTCCCGAGTTGTAGAGAGAGAGTAGAGAGAGAAAGCTCTAAGGTGTGTGAAAAATGTTCAAATGGAGACCACTCAACCCTTATATGGGGTTGAGTTCACGGTCAGGTGATGATCCACCCAATCCCGACATCAAACGGAGTTTAAGATTGTACCCGATTAAATGGTCGTAACCCGACTTAGTCGTGAACTAGAATTTTTTTCGAAAGAATTCGAGGGTACTTCACGTGATTTTATTGCTTTCAGATGCATATGAAAAATACAACAATAACCCAAAGGGATTTACTTAATTCAAAAGTTAACAAATTTGTAATAAAAATAAATTTTATTAACGGAAGTGGGTTACATTGACGGAATAAATTTCGGGTTGTCACACACACACACACACATATCTATATATATATATATATATATATATATATATATATATATATATATATATATATATATATGCTTAGGTTATTCTATTCTAACTAATAATTGTGTGGATATCGTATGCTATGAGAATTACTAAGAAAATAAGTTGTTTAGCAATTCGAATACGTTCAATCTTACATAACCATTGTCCTCAACACACATCTCACTAATTAAATCGTCTATAAGGTTAGTATATATACTTATTATTATTATTCTCATTTCTGTCAGAATGTTTATTGGGTCGTATTCTGTCAGAATGAAAATGAGTGAAAAACGATGTGTGAGAACTAAAATAAATTATAATTAGCGAGAATGCATGAAAAAGATGATATTTTTGTAAGGTTGAACGTATTGATATTGCTAAACAACTTATTCTCTTAGTAATTCTCATAGCATATGATATCCGCACAATAATTAGTTAGAATAGCTGAACCTAGTTATATATATATATATATATATATATATATATATATATATATATATATATATATATATATATACTAATAGGTTGAAACCTTTAGGGAGTCGTGATATCAGGTGACATAAAGAAAATCCTCCAAATCGAACAAATGACTCCAATAACCTGAAAATATATAGCAGATTATGATTTAAACATTAGAGTTTGCTTTATGTATATAATAAAATTTGGAACTTTTGAGACGTATTATTCGAAGTATCACCTGGATTTTGGTAATATTTAAGCCATGACAGGTTTGATAGAATTAATAGGAACAACATAGAGGTTCCTCTCTTAGTCAACGGTAGGAAAATTCTTGAAATTATGCATACAAGTCTCATGGCTTTTTGTAGATCCAATCAACCTGGCACCATGAACCGCCAGCAAACGACCCAATTTCTTTACCAGAAAGCTAATGGTGTCCGATTAATTAATTCCTATTAAAGCCTTCAAATCTCTATATTCAACTACAACACCAGGACCTATGCTCTGCTTCACAACATTACACACCTCCCCTAACCTTTATTCCAACAAGGTCGCCCCTGAATTTCCATTACTAATATTAAGAATCTCATCTTTAATGGAAATAACAGTTACAACTGATAATTCTAGTGGGCAAAACGAAAAGGCATCGATTTTGGGTTTCTGTAACACATCTAAGAAAATCTCAGTTGCATCAATGACGGAATGACCAACAAGTAGTGGGTTATTCCAGGTTTTTCCATGGTTTCTAACGAGAAGTTCATTCATTCTTTTACAAATTTCATTGTTTTTCTAAAAACCTATTAAAAGGAAAACTGAAATAAAAAGCCCTAATTCAAACCGACTATTGACGATATTAAACCTCGTCTCCGAGATACTGTAACCACTTTCTCAAACTTTAATTTTTTCTCGTAAACTTACTCCGTTTTCCGAATTTCATGAAGTTTAACCTGTGTAGATATAATTGATGCTATGGCCAATGTGAGAGTCTTAGTTTGATTTTTCTCTTCATATTTTTATTTTCCGTAGTATTCTTTCTTGTAGATCTCATCGTTTCCCATAATATTCAGTTAGCTATAAATGAATGAATATAAACTAGGTTTTTTTTTCTTGATGTTTCTCTTATATTGGAAGATCAGATCCAATAATCAAGAACGATGATTCTTACGATATAAAATTATTTGTGCTGTCTCAGTCTTCTATAGCATTTCTTACAGTATAAAAAAAGAAAGAAGTCTCATTCGCCCTTTAGTGGTTTAGGGCCACCATCGTCAATTAGGATTGTCTCTCTTTTTATCTTATTGACTCAGCATTGAATTCTTTTTACATTATTGAGTCAATCAGTGCATTCTTTTCTACATCGTACCTTCTTCACTTCCCATGAGATTTCCGTATTCTAAAAATGATAATATTATAATTAAATCTTTTTTTTTTGTTGTTGCAATTTTACGAACTATCTAAATGTGAAACTAAAAAAAACGGTTACAGATATTGTTAACAATAAATGTCAAAAATCAATATTGTAACTGTTGAGTTGTGAGTTTTTTTTGGCTCTTCAGTTGGGGTGTGAATGTGAGATGGTTGTTGGAGGAACGTGCGTGGAGGGATGGAGAGCTGTGAATGTAAGACAACCTGATCGTATGTGAATCTTGTGCTCTTTATTTTTCCCCATCAGTTAATCGTGTGTGTGTTTGTCAATCATAATTATAAACATTAATTAATCTACATAAACTATAATTAAATATACAAAAAAGAGTTTCAAAAACTAAATTTAGTAGGTTTAGATGAAATATTTTCTTCTCAAATTGTATTTTTCACTATATATGGTTATTTTGATGTGTTTGATTTTGTTAAAATGAATATGACTTAAAAGGGATGAAAATCGGTGATGGTTGCGAAGTGCTAAATCAGTAAAAAAAAATATGAAAAAAAAAAGAAATTTTCATTAAACTAATTAAGTTGGGTATCTAGATTGAGCCCGGACAGGACTATAGCTCCTGGCACATTATATAGTTATTACATTCTTAAATCCAAATCTTCATAACCGTATTTCATGGATGGTTACTCTATTTGATTCCATCATTTTGTTTTTTTAGAATTATATCACATAATTTGATGACCAAAAAATATTACAATATTGGAAAAGATATTAATATTAAATACAAAGTGCCATGACTTGCAAGTCTTTGAAGGTCTACTTTGGGTCAATTTAAATTTCATGGAAAGTAAGTGTTGTATGCCCCATGCAAATAGGCCACCAATTTGAGTCCATCCACTTTAATAATTCATCTTCAAGGTTGGCATTGGCTCTATATAAAACCTTCATAGGGGCATATTTGTATATGTATACATCAACACAAACAAAATTCACCAACGTACATCTGCATTTACATCATGCATCGTTGTGTTTTTATAATTTTCTCATTTCTCTTGCTATGCATTCAGAATACAACTACCAACCAACTGGTAGCAGCGGAAGGAGGAGGAGGAGATGATAATGGTGTTATCACGAACAAGTGTTTGGATAAGGAGAGAGATGCTCTCCTTCAATTCAAAGCAAACCTTGAAGACCCTTATGGTAGTCTCTCTACATGGAGACCTGAAGATGATGAATGTTGTGAATGGAGAGGAGTCATGTGTGGCGATGAAACAGGTCATCATGTCACATGGCTTGAGATTAGATCTTTTGGTCTTGTAGGTGAGATTAGCCCTTCATTGGTTAACTTAACCTACTTGAATCATCTTGATCTTTTCGGAAATTTCTTTAATGGAACCATTCCCAAGTCCTTTGGTTCCTTGACCGAATTAATGTTCCTTGACCTTTCAAATAACTCTTTTTATGGAACCATTCCTGAAGAGTTTGGAAACCTCACCAACTTGCAAAACCTTTATCTTGATTTTTTTGGAAGATGTAGAGTTGAAAACCTACAGTGGTTGTCCCATTTATCTCTTTTGGAGACACTTGAAATGGATGGGATTTCTCTTGCCAAAGCAAACCACTGGGTAAATGTGATTTCGAGTCTCCCAAAACTATCACGGTTAAGTTTAGAAGGATGTGATCTCTCAAAGGTCATATTCTTCTTCATTTCTCAACTCTTCTTCATCTATTCAATCCCTTTATCTTGGAAACAACAATCTCACCTCATCCGTGTATCGTTGGTTATTCCCATTAACCAGCAATAGCCTTGTCCTTCTTGATCTGTCTAGCAACATGTTAGATGGGATACCCAAATATCTTGGTAACCTCTCTAGTTTGGAATATTTTGCATTTGATAACAACTCTGCTGTTGTCGATTTTCCTGATTTTCTCAGCAACTTGTCTGGATGCACAGCGCTTACACTACAAGAATTATATGCTCGAAGAAACCAATTTAAAGGGTCACTGCCTGATTTCATCCAAAACTTTTCATCCCTATCATTTCTTGGCCTATTAGATAATCACATGAATGGAACCATAAGCGAGAAACTGTGGGAACTACCCAACCTTAAAGAGATTGACGTTTCTCAAAATCATCTTAGTGGTGCCATCTCTGAAAACATTGGAAAGTCGAAAGCTCATATTATAAATCTTTCGAAGAACCCACTCCAAGGAGTTCCTTCCACAGATCATATGTCAAACCTTTCTTATGTAGAGCACCTTGATCTGAGCTCTTGCAACCTAGGGCCCCACTTCCCCAAATGGATTCAAAAACTGGAAAATCTTACCCTTCTTGATATTTCCAACACTAGAATTTCAGATGCAGTTCCTCCACAATTTTGGAACATGCAATTCAGCTATTTGAATCTCTCTTCCAACAACATCAGTGGGGAAGTACCCGATCTATCAAGTTTTGCCAAAAGTAAATTGATAGATTTGAGCTCCAACAGCTTTAAGGGTCCAATACCGGATCTTCCTTCCAGTTTGGCATTGTTAAATCTTTCCAGAAACAAATTCTCTGGAGGAATCTCCTTCATTTGCCAAATTGTCGATGGGCTTTTACAATTTCTTGACCTCTCCCATAACTCTCTAACCGGACAAATTCCAGACTGTTTGTGGCATTTCAAAGAACTAAAAGTTCTCAATCTAGGACACAACAGTCTAGTCGGAAAGCTTCCTCCTTCTATTGGATCTTTGATAGAACTGGAGGTGTTGTATTTGTACCAGAACAACTTCTCTGGAGAATTTTCTTTGTCTTTAAAGAATTGCACGAGTTTAAGTTTTTTGAATTTGGGGGCCAATAAGTTTTCTGGTAATGTGCCTTTTTGGATTGGGGAAAACTTTTCAAGGCTGTATGGTCTTATCCTAAGATCAAATAACCTGGTCGGAACCATCCCTTTACAGGTATGTCAATTACCGTATCTTCAAATTTTAGACTTTTCAAGGAACAATCTTCATGGAAGCATCCCCTCATGTTTGAATAATCTTACAAGAATGGCTCAAGAAGGATTTTTACCACCACCAAACGTGCATTTCTATACAGCACCTTCACCTTATTCATTTTATATTGATTCATTTCGCATTGATGTGGAGTATGTTGACTATGCGTTGATCGAGTGGCAAGGAGATGAGCGTGAATTCACCAGTAATCTGGGATTGTTGAAGAGCATTGACCTGTCAAGCAACAATCTAACAGGACATATCCCATATGAACTCACCAATCTTCATGAACTGCTTGCCCTGAACTTGTCAAAGAATGCTCTCTTTGGGGAGATTCCACAGCAAGTTGGTCAGATGAAAAACCTTTTAGCTTTAGATTTATCAAGAAACAATTTGTCAGGAGGGATACCATCAAGTATGACTCAAATGACTTTTTTGGGTTACCTAGATGTGTCATGTAATAACTTGTCAGGGAGAATCCCATCAAGCACTCAACTCCAGTCCTTTGAACCTTCAAGCTATGATGGAAATGCAGGACTCTGCGGACCTCCCCTTTCCAGAAAATGTCCAGGAGATGAAGGATCACAAGTACCATCAATCCTTGGTAAAAGCGAGGGTGATGAGGAAGACATACATGAACTTGAGAGATGGTTCTATATTGGTGGGGGCACTGGTTTTGTTACTGGGTTTTGTATGGCATGTGGCGCTCTACTTCTCAACCGTTGTGGTAGGCATAAGTTTTTTCATTATTTTGATGGGTTCAGAGATTGGGTTTACATGAAGGTGGTGATGTTCATCGCAAATTTGCAAAGGGTTAGACATACATAGTTTTTCTTTTTAACTTATTTTCTAGTATGTATCTTATCTTGAACAGACCGTTACTGGTCTTTTTAAGGCTAGGGTCATAGTATTGTAATTTGGCAGGGGTTTTTAAGTTCCCAATATCAATAAAATTGCCACTAACACCATGGGTGGCCACTTTATCGAATAGGGTGAAATAAGACATGCTGAGAGTTCATACTTTTGTAGCAAATAAACAAAAGATGAAAATGAAGTTAATGTTGTATATTTTAATAATCAATCTGGAAATTTTCCACCCTCTTTACAATTCTTAGATTCCTTTAGTGTAAGGCTTTTAATCAAAATCTTTATTTGTCGCTACATCAAAGCGATGGATTGAACTCATTTACACTCCTATAGCAACTGCAACACTCATCTTTAGCATTAAATCTTGAACTACAATTCAGATTACCGAGTAATATATATAATAATGATCTTGAAAACTCTACCACTATGGGTCATCCATTCACAAAGTGTTTTTATTTTTATTTTTATTTTAATGTGTGTGTGTTGTGGAATCTAGACTTTGTCTTCCGTTCACAAAAGAAGTTGGGTCCATTTTCTTGGTCCATTAACAAAAAGTATTTTTAATTTTTTTTTTATCATTCTTATTGTTTTTTTGAAAGGAAACTACCCTAATAAGGGTTTCCAGGCAAGCTTTTGCACACCGATTAATCCTCCGCTGCAAACATGAGGCTTTGACTCATGCCCTGAAGTCACTGCAGGCGAACCTCCATGACCACAAGGGCTAAGTGGTGCTAGGATTGAACATGGGTCAATAGATTATCCACCATATCTTCGACCTGCCTTACCAAGTCACCACAAGCCAAGTGGTTTTTATTATTTTTATTTCATATTTCAATGTATTAATTTAAACTATCGGAAAGATATATCATAAACTATGTACTATTTTCAACAAATTAAATCATAAAAAAGAGATCAATACATTCAAAATGAAATCATGTTACTGATATTTACACAATATGATAGATCCAATAATATGATATATCCAACAACACTCATAGTTTAAATGTGTGATGGTTGATTAATTCAGAATTTGTATCATTATACCTTGGATTTGGAAAACTCCAAGTTTGTGAAATGGTTTTGAGGGACATTTTGGACTGATTTTGGTGATAAGAATGCATGTATGGGATCTCTTTGAACCATTCATGCAAGCCATAGCCTTTACGGCTTTGATTTGGATCTAGGGTTGGAGTGGGTCATGTTGAAGCTTCCATGTGGACATTAAGAACCTCATTTGATAGTTTTTTGGAAAGTCTTAGCTTTTGTCTTAATGGAATAAGTGCTTAAAAAAGAAATAGATATGCCTTAAAAAACGCAACGCGACAAAGGAATAGTCGCGACACAAAGTTTGAAGAGGAGTTGCGACTGTTTTGTCGCCTAGTCGTCACGACACGACCAGGAGATCGGTCGTGACAGATTGACCATTGACTTTGTCAGTTGAATTTTTGACACATTTGACTTTTGGTCAAACTTTGATGGACCATGGGTTTTGGAATGATGTTTGACCTCTGTTTAGTATGGGATTACTGAATTATGCCTAATGGTGATTTAGGTGATTCGTATAGTTGATTCTCTCAAGGACTTGTGTGTGTGGATTCAACTCTTAATTTCAGGTGAGTTTTCTCGCTATATTACATATGACAATTTTCCTTTTTATAAATTGACTAAAATACTCTTACAATTGACTAAAATACTCTTACAGTTAAATTAGATGATATTTTTCAATTATCTTTAATTAAATAATATTTATTAATCACTTTCTTAAAATAACTAAAATTATTGGTCCACAATCAAACATACAAATACACAATAGATAGTTAGAATACAATAACATAGCTCTCTCTCTCTATATATATATATATATATATATATATATAATATATATATATATATATATATATATATATATATATATATATATATGAATTTTTTAATATGTGCCCTAAAGGCACAAATAAGAACTATAATTATAGAAAATATTATCATAATTGAATATTAAATGCATTAATTATGATAATATTCCCATAATTAATAGCTCAATTAATTCTTTTATGTATGCCTAGGGCACATGTTAGAAAACCCCATATATATATATATATATATATATATATATATATATATATATATATATATATATATATATATATATATAGGTAGCTTCAAATGTGGATTGATATCTATTGTGCGGACGTGTGGACAATCTTATTCTCTGAGAATGACAAAGAAAATATGTTGTTTGGTAATGTGAATACATTCAATCTTACATAACTATTGTCATTATCACGTATTCCCACTAACTAAATCGTCTATAAGGTTATTATAGACTTTTTTAATATTATTCTCATTCTGTAAGAATGTTGTTATAATGTTTATTGAGTCGTATTCTGTGAGAATGAAAATGAGTAAAAAACAATGTGTGAGAACAAAAACGAATAAAGATTAGTGAGAATACATGAAAATGACGATGGTTGTGTAAGGTTGAACGTATTGACATTAGCAAATAACCTATTCTGTTAGTAATTCTCATAGAATAGCATTGTCCACACGTCTGCACAATAGTTGCCCATCCACATTATAACCTAGCCATATATATATATATATATATATATATATATATATATATATATATATATATATATATATATATACTAATTTATAATGCGTGGATAATAGGAGTCCAAAAGTTTTTAAGACCAAAGTCTTAAAAACAAGGAGAGTAACCATTAATTTTAAAATGAGTGGTATAGATTATCTATGTTAATTGGTGATCCTTGTGAATTAATTTAAACCAATAAGAACACAACATTTTAAAATACAACTCCTATTTAATGAATATATCACAAACAAGGCCTCAACTTTCCTTTTTCTCTCTACGAAATGATTCCTTATCCGCCCAATTCTATGGCGATCAATAAACACCAAAAACTTGATGATCGATTATGTTCATATATGTTATGATCTTTCGTCACCTTTAACATTATCCACTACCACTTCAACACTTCTGTATCCACCCTCTAACATTTCACAAACCTACTGAAAATTAAGAATCTAAAGCATCAAGATAACGCTCTCATATTTTCACGGCCAAACCGCTTAGGTTAAACAACACCACCGAACTGCCACGACTACAACTCACCTTCATCTCTGCTCTCTTTCTCCCCTTCAATATGTTTTCTGATACGAATCTCCTTTTGTTGTTATATAAGTGTAGATTTTTATTTTTTTGTAGTCAGAAATATGTAGATTTTTAGTTTTTGATGAAGTATTTTGGTTGCGAAAATAACATCTTTATTGTTTTATATTTTTTTTGAAAAATAGTTTCAGATCTATAGGAAAAATTATTTTTATATGAAAATGGTTTTCCAATGTGCATATACTTTCTAAAAAGTTACATCATCTTTGAATATAGTTTGGCTTGTTGATACTTTTTTTATCCTTCATTTACTTGATTTTTTCTTTGATTTTGTTTTGTTAGCTTCCATATATATATATATATATATATATATATATATATATATATATATATATATATATATATATATATATATAGGCTTAGGTTATTTTGTAGTATCTATTGTGTTATTGTATGCATAAATGTGAGCCAATCAAATTTACATATTTTAAGAAAGTGATTAATATATATTATTGAATTAAATATAATTGAAAAATATCATCTTAATTAATTATAAGGGTAATTCAGTCAATTAATATAGACTTAATAAAGGAAAATTGCATTTTTTTAAGGGATCATAGATTCTATTAATTTTAAAAATCCGATTTTAAGAATTATAATTATTTTAATTTGGACATTCTGACAGAATATGTTTATGAGTATATTCAAAATTAAAAATATTCTTGAAGCATAAATAATAAAAATATTCTTGAACCTATTTCTTGATCATGAATTTAAGAACTTCTTGTAGAATAACAAATTCTTGAACAATCACTAGAAGAATAAAAACAAAAAATACATTATTTCTTATAGAATACGGGTAAAAATTGTTAATAATTACATTTATTGTTAAAGAATAAAACTAAAAAACAATCAAAACCGAAAAGAATACATCAAAATCTAACAACGACTAATACATTCTAAAAGAATAATGTGGTTCGTTTCAATTTTGTGGTCCGTTCTTCAAGCATCAACTACTGTGATTACAACAGAATTGGAATTCGTCATTCCATTCCAACAGAATTGGAATTCGTGATTTCATCATCATTTTCCCGGCTCTGTAAGTAATCAACATCTCCAACATATTCAGTGATTATTGTCCAGTCTTTGATACATTTATCAGCTTCTACGGTGAATCTGCAACAATAACATATATATATATATATATATATATATATATATATATATATATATATATATATATATATATATATATTAATATCAAGAACACCAAAGGTTTAGGCATAAAAACCCACTTACCCTTCTACAGGATAAAAAACAACCATAAGTGGAGGGAATTCCCCTCTCCTCATCATGCTCTTGCACAGATTCAAGGCCTCATGTTGCAATCCAAAATATAGGTGGTGAAAAGAATTATAAATCTTGCCAAAGATCAGATATGGGGATCAAGGAACTCTGTTACCTATAAACTGAAAGAGTTTTGTAATACTTACATTTGCAGGATTCATTGAAGGACCTGTGTAGCTTGAACCAACAAGAATCACCACCCTAGTTGCCATGGAAAGCATCCAATTTTTCAAGAACAAGCTGTTAGGACCCTTGATGATGATCAAGAGAACAACAAAAGTGATAACGAAAGTCAAAACTCCCTCAGCAATGGCTCCAGTATGCAAATCTACTTTTAGAGTAGGTCCTTCTAGCAGATGTTTGTACTCTAATGGCATCAACTTCAAAAAGACATCACACCACCAGCTGCACCAATCGTCTGTCAACAATTCAGAAACCAAATACTATTTTTACATGTTTAACACCAATAATCAACAAATACTGATCCAATTCTGCACTATTCATAGTTGAATGTAACGATCTGTTTTCGCAATTTCAACTGTAACCTAACAATTTGGGGAATTGGAAACCCTTAATTCGTCAAAAATCACGACTATGAAAAGTAATTTTTGGTTAAATTACCTGAGCATGAAAGCGGACGGCGGTGGACATGAGTGTATCATCGTTGCCACCGGCACCGGCGATACTAAACGCAATTGTACCGATCGCATTGAAGCTAGCGCCACCGAAGGCATCGGCAATCAATCGAAACACGATGGAAGCCAGCCCTCCGGCACCCATCAAAAGAAGAACAGAAGAGAAGATAGAGAGAAGACTGAAGGTTTGCTGCCGCCTGCGCCCTGCTGTGCTGTGTTGCGTCTGCTGACTGCTGGTGTCGACGCCACCTCTTCGAAGTCATCCAACACCGGTAATTGAATGAGGCTGGTGCATCGATTCAGTTGCTAAGGTTTCTGTCCTTGCCGCTTGTTCTAGCACTTCAAGTAAGAGCATTACAGAGAGTGTCTATGGGGTCGTTGTCAAAAAGGGTTGATTAGGGTTGATGGGTGGAGAAAACTAAGTCAATTGTTACCTTAATTATAGGATATTATATGTGGAAAGTAATTATCAAATTACCTATTTACCCTTATTTATTTATTTAATTATTTATTTTTATTTTAATTTTTGATTGGCCCACATTTATGCATACAATAACACAATACTTACTTTAAACAAATGAACATATCTCTCTCTCTCTCTCTCTATATATATATATATATATATATATATATATATATATATATATATATTATTGTGTGTTCAGGTTTTGATGATAAAAAAGTACGAAGTCTATAAAATGAAGAGCTTATGTTATTATAGGTTGAATATAGAAAGGGAATTTGACTTATTAAGATAACTAAATATTTCTTATGTTCACATATGGGTAATATTGTTTTTTTTGTACTCATTTACCCAAATAACTTTTTTCAGCCATTCACAAATAACCAACATTACCGGTTATTACATGATTTAGCCGGTTGCATTGATTTAGCTTAGTTAAAACACATTACGTGGAATATTACGTGGCCATTACACCCCCTTCTCATTTTATTAGGGTTCGTCATCGTCAGTTTAGGACAAGCTCCAAAACACTCCCCGATTACCTTCTTCTGTGAGAAATCAATCGATACAACAAATCGATGATTAGGGTTTGGAACTGAATTTGGAATTGAAGGTACGAGTTCAAGTCGACTGTTAACATGGAATCCTCATCTACAGGTATGTATGTAGCTGTAGATTTTCATTACTATGGAATGTTTTCGCCAAACCCGTTGGTGTACTTAGACCCTGTAAAAACAAGTGTACGTGATGTGGATTTTGGGGGATTTACGTATAAAGAGTTTCTTTTGTGGCTTACAAAATTAACCAAATGATCTTGTGATAATGTATACTGCTGTATTAGAAGGAAAGCTTGTGTGAGGGTATTAGATGAATCGATAGTGATGCTGATTATTAGGAGTTTGTGGAAACTGTTTATAGTCTTGAGAGTGAGTTAGATGTGTACATTGACCACCAAAATGAACCACTTCTTGATTGGGCTGATAACGAGTTGTTAGCAGATGTTAAAGGGTATGAGTTGGATGAGTTTGATGAAGATGGTGACAAGGATTCTGAACTTTCAGAGAGAATGGAATATGAATATTAATGTGATGAAGAGCTCTATACTTTTGATAAGACTATTGGAGACCCATTCTTAGACAAACTTTCAAGGCATATAAGTGATGATGATGAAGAGGAAGCAAACAATGGAAAATTAAGGATGTTGTGTTCCCTGTCCATAATGAGAATAAAGAATGGGAGCAAATGGTGCCAGTTTTGGGTATGAAGTTTTCTAACCCATTGGAATTGAAGTTGTGTGTCACCAACTATGTAGTCAAAAATAGATATGATTTATGGTATGAAAAAAGTGATCATCAAAGGATATTGGTAAAATGTTGTAAAGGTAAGACAAATAAGCAGAATAAAGGTTGTCCCTTTAGGTTCTAGGCAACCTGGATGACCAGTGAAAAATCATTCCAGACTAAATCTCTAAATGATAGGCATAATTGTGCAAGAGTCTTCAAATTTGGGTCTGTTGTTACCTATAAATGGATAGGAAATCATTTCATGAATCAGATACTTTAGAAACCAAAGATGAGTATAAGATAATTCCATTCAACTCATCATCCAAGATTACAACAGAACTTCGAAACATAAACAGAAATTGCAGATGAATACCATCACTACTGGAATTGACTAAATAGAAGAACCGATAACTCAAACCTCGGTCTCCGTGGGTCCTTCCATCCAACGACGAACGTTGGGGAGCTACTAAGCTAAGGGTGTAGGGCCTAGCACCTCACCAAAAATGAGAAAGGGACAACGAGCACTGTTGTGGCCCTTTTGGCTGCAATGAAAGCAAACTCATGTACTCTGCCTGCAATTTATACCAAAATGACCCTCCTCGCTACACCTGAGACATATAAAAGATTGACACCTCTCATAATGGAACTTATCGCATTTGCTACCCTCGGAACTCATCCTCTTAGCTGATCCTGAACATGGGTTGGCGGACCTGAACCACTTGGCTACCGACTGATACTGTCCTAAAACTGTCTCTTCCTCTCTCTATTGAAACTCCAACTTAATATCCCTCCTCTTGGCGCTTGGCTAAGGTCCGGTATTAATGAGTAGATACAAACTCTCGAATCTATATCTTGAACATTCTCAAGTATCGTGACATTTGCGCCTGCTCTGAAGCGACATACTCGGCAGAAAGGAGCTCTCTATTAACATCTTGGTGATATCCATCACCGAATCCGGCGTCTGCTTGAGCGACAGGTACTCCTATGTCAATATCTCTCGCTCCACAAGAGGAACATACTCTACATGAAACATATCCAGAAACTGTTCCCAAGTCACCATGGCTCACTTGGCATGCAAAAGCCCTAAGTCACCAATTCCCAACAATCCTTTGCACCCCAACGAAGAAGGTTAAGAGAAAACTTCACCTTCTAGTTCCCGGAAACATACATGTGAAGAAACATCCCTACACATCAAAAATTCATCTCAAAGTGATAATCGGGTCCATGTCGCCTTTGAACTTTAGAGGCTTCGTATCACTGAACTCTTGATACTGCATCACCTGCCCCTTTGAAATCCTGTAATTGCGATAATTGTTGTGGCTACGGCAGTAGTTCTTTAGTAGCCTTGAGGTTCCTCCTGAATCTCATACGGATGTTGTGCTTTCAATAGTACGAGCCCATACTGCCTTCCACACCTATCCGTAGTTGATTCAGAATTCATCCCAAGGTCCTAAGTCCCTGCACTAGACTACTTCTATATGTGCTAATACCCACGTGCTCCTACGAGCTACAACTTACTTCCTAGGTACACGTCCTAGGATTATCCTCACTCCGCACTATTGGTTGCTTTTGTGCATGGTAGTTGTACACAATATAGGATTAGATAGATTGTCGAATAATCTACTTTGCCCTAAGTCCACAACCAGAAAAGGAACAAGAAATAAGGCTAAGTCGATCATTCTAAGGCTATTTTATCCTGCCCATATACAACTAATCAACATACACTTAGCAATCACACAATAATGTAATATACATCAATCAACTCAGGAATCACCACAATCAGGGACTTCTATCCAACATTTCCTAAAGGAACCTTACCTACTAGCATGACATTCTAACAATCCATATATCAACAATAATCAAAACTCAACACATGTAACAACTATGGGTATTTTGGGAACCACTCTCCTGTGTGGGCTCTGGCTGACTGTATAAGTTGCATCTTCCTATAAAACAAATGTTAAGCCAAGGTCCATGCTCCCGATCCCAAGCCAACTTCCCCTTTGCTCAAACCTAGTTTTCGAGTTTGGATTCTCACAAGTGTTCCTCCAATTCGCTCAAAATAAGGCTATTATAACAACTTTTAACGTCCCATTCTCACAACCAAAAAATTTAATCTTTATTAAGGTAAAACTCCATATAATAAGACTCGTATTAAGAAAAGAATTTACTCTAGATTAAATTCATAAAATCAGAGTAATATTTAAACGTGGAATCTTCATTGCTACTGATGAATGTGTACAATCACGCCTTCACCTTCCGATGATAACCGATGATACCTGAAACAATAAGCAATCGGGTAAGCACAAAGCTTAGTGAGTTGACCCCAAAATACTCCAAACAACAAACATACTAGCATGCATAGCGTGCCTACATTCCTCGGATTAGAAAACCCTGGTCCAATCAGTCATCGGACTGGAATGCCAACATGTCACGGGTCCAATCAGCCATCAGGCTGGAATACCCAGGGTTTGTTGGCCTGCCGCCTCAACGCAACAGCTCATCCCCGGGCCTCCATGCCTATGGCTTACAGCCAGCCCGCAGTAGGTATCTTGGCCTACAACACAAAACAGGATCGTCTCAACCTTAATCACTACCATTTGTCGACATATAACAAACAAGGATCAAGTAGGCACATAATATAGGAAATATCAATCATACAGTTCGCTACCACCTACTAGATCTCTCACAGCACACTGCTCTTCTACCAGCTAAACTCAATGGCATATGTAACCATAAGTAACTAGAGGTAAGACAGCCACCCGAACAGATGATCCTACTCTAGAGACACAACCTGATACATCCCAAAAATCATGACCAAAATTTTCATTTTTAATTATTAAATAAACCATAGTCACCAAAATCATTTCATCCAAAAACATAAGTCATCGTATCAAATCAGAGTAAAATATCAAAACACATGTCAATGTATCAGAGTAAAACATCCCAAGCTAAACAAAACGGTGTGTGCACTGCAGTCATCCGGAGCTCTTCCCCTTGTTACCAGAAGTACCTGAAACCAAAACTAAAAACTGTAAGCACGAAGCTTAGCGAGTCTCCCCAAACTACCACATACCTTACACATAATCATATAATCACATAATAACATAACATGGGCCTTGCCCGCTACATCAGCCCCCGCCCGACATTGGACCGAAGACCGGAATTGGGCCCCACCTGGCATCGAGCAAAGCTCGGTATACATATAAACATATCAAAAAATACACATACATAATCACATAACATAAACATATAAACATTCCTCGGGCCCCGCCCGACAAAGGACCGAAATCCGGAAACATATAAACATTCCCCGGGCTTTCCCCAGCATTGGGCCGAAGTCCGGAAGCATACAAAACAAACACATGTAGGAATCATAAAGACATCAAGGATACAAACATTCCTCGGGCTTTCCCCGGCATTGGACCGAAGTCCGGAAACATATAAACCTACATAGGGCACTTCCCGACATCGGACCTTAGTCCGGAATATACTAACATACATAAATGGGACGAAATTGGTAACTTAGACACGTTCCTATGGGAGGAAACCCACCTCTCACTACTGAATTCGCGAATAAAACTCTAACTGTTGGATGACAGATTCACAAACTGTCAACATCAAAACAAAACCCAATTAACCATTTAGGTTTCAATGCATAACCATAAATCCACACTTGGGGTAAACGGACCATTTTACCCCTAACCTATCTTAGTCCAAGACCTAGGCCCAAACTCATTCTATGAAGGCCCAAAAGTCAAATAATTAACCACGACCAGAAAATAACATGCAAAAGGAACAACCGCAATGAACGACGAAGGCAGTGGTTTGATGTGAACTAACTGTTGCGGGACATAACAGAAGTTCAAGGAGAAGGGGCTGATGCAGCGGGGAACAGAGGTTGCGCCTCTACCAAAACACGAGAACGGTGGCTACGAGCTCTTATCTTCCGACTTCTCACTGCCACGACATTGGCTCGTCGGTGTCAGCGTACGCCGGCAGTAGCGACGATGGTATCGACCACGACGACATTGGCGGTCAATGGTGGCTATGAACTGGTACTCCTACTCCCTACTGAAACGAAATCCACCATTGGTATTTGTCTTCAGCAACCACGTAATACTGCCGGCGGTACTCGACTGGTGGTTTTTCGGCTCCAACAACGGTGGCGGCGACCGGAGGTGAAGGGAGGCATACCGGGGGGGGGGGGGGGGTGGCGGTTGATGTTTTAGAAGTAGGGTTAGGGTTTGAATGCAAGGTGGTGATGCGTATATTCCCGTTCATATGAGATCTTCACTCATAATTACATTTCCAGCCCCACCATGCCAAATCTTTTCAAATTGAGTCCGAAATTTACCCTTTAGCCTCTGCCTTCAAAAATCCTTTCATAATAAGTTCAAAAATTACCAATCGTACCCTGACTTCTGAAATCCTTCTCAAATTAAATCCATAATTTACCAAACCGCCCTCAACCTTCAAAATTCTTTACAGACTAGTCCGTAAATTACACTTTAACCCCTAAAGTCCAAATTATATCATTTCACCCCCAAAACCAACACCTTTCTAAATTATTCCAAATTTAGGGCTACTATTCATTTATTAATTTTATCTATTTATTTATTTAATAAACAGAATGTTACAATTCTTCCTCACTTAAATTAGATTTCGTCCTCGAAATCATTCCTTACCATTCATATCACGCCAAGCAACTTGAGCGACATGGCCACATTCCCACGTGTACCCCAGCCTTCCCAAGGCAACCAAAACCAACCCACGCAGGGCTCTACAAATCGAAGGTGAA